GAGATAATGCGTTAACCTCCCACCTTTACTCCGCACCCAGCGCCAGTGGCTGCACAATTGCAGGGCCCCACTCACATGCCCCCACCCCTCCTTGCTTATTTGCCTTCTCTCCCTGCCCACGTTGCACTCTCACTAGTTTGCGTTCTCAGGGTGAAAGGAAAGCGAAGAGGCACTCGCCGGGTGTATTTGTCACGGAATGACACACGAAGCCCGCACCGCGCCTCCCGAGGCCGTGGGTGGGCCACACGCCCCCGTCAACCAAGAAGATGGCGCACGGCCGCTGTTGGAGAGGGCCGCAGGGGAGGCGACGCCATCGATACAAACGAGCGAGCCACCGCTGCCCCCTGAGGCAGTGCAGGAAGAAGACACACAAAAAGTCGCCCACAACGTCCACGGGGAAGAAGACGCGAAACAGGTTGTGGGCGAAGCCTGCGCGAAGGAAGACGTGGAACGGTGTGGGTGGGCGAGGTCGGTGATGGCGTCGTTCTCATCGATAGTTCCACCGGGCGGGATGCTGTCCACCGTGTTCAACATTGCCTCCATATGCGTTGGCGCTGGCATCCTCGGACTCCCTGCCGCCTCAAACAGCAGCGGTGTGGTCATGGCGGTTGTGTACCCGGCCATCGTTGGGGTTCTCACTGTCTATGCACTGTACTGCCTCGCCGTGCAGATGGAGCGGCTTGGCCTGACGACGTACGAAGGCATGGCACGTACGCTGCTGGGGCCTGGCTTTGACTACTTCACAACCGTTATGCGTTCTGCAATTACCTTCGGCGGCTGTGTCGCGGTCATTATCTGCGTGGCAGACACCTTCAGAGCCATTTTCAGGAATACGGATGCCCCAGGGTACTGGAGGTCGAGTTCAGGCAGCCGTCTGCTGACAAGCCTGGTGTGGCTTGTCTTGATGTTGCCCTTCGTCATCCCGAGGCACGTCAACTCGCTGCGCTACGTCTCAATGGTGGGCGTTGTCTTCATCATCTACTTTGTGGTGATGATCATCGTTCACTCGGGCATGAACGGACTGGCAGAAAACTCGAAACACATAACTGTCGCCGGCAGACCCACCGATGACGGTATCCACATGTTCGGCACCGGCAACAAGGCACTGGACGGGCTCGGAGTTTTTATGTTCTCCTACACGTGCCATATCGGTGCGTTTGAGGTCTACTGGGACATGAGAGAGCGCAGCGTGCGTCGATTCACCCTGTACTCCGCCATTGCAATTCTTCTGTGCTTCATCCTATACGCCCTGACAGGCATCTTCGGCTACTTTGACTTTGGCAGTCGCACAACCGTCTCCGCTCTGCTGCTGTACGACCCAGTCAAGGAGCCGGCAGTGATGGTGGCATGCGTTGGCGTGCTGGTGAAGCTGTGCGCCTCCTATCCGCTTCTCATCATGATCACCCGCAACTCCCTCTACCACAGTTTTGGGTGGAACCCCGACACGCTGCCGTTTTGGAGGCACTGCATCTTCGTCATCAGCCTCGCCGTTGCTTCGTTGCTTTGCGGCCTGTTCATCCCAAAGATCAACACGGTGTTTGGCCTCGTTGGTGCGTTTTGTGGCGGTATTTCAGGATTCATTATTCCCTCTCTCCTGATGATGTACGGCGGCAACTGGTCGCTGCGGTCAGTTGGATGGATGCACTACACCTTCACGTACGTGCTGCTTCTCGCCGGTGTTGCGATGATGGTGTTCGGCACGGGTGCCACCATCTACAGCGCTGTGAAGGGCGACTGAGCGCCGCGGAGGCCATCGCCCGGGACGCCCCTCTGTGCCCGCCAGCGAATGTGCGGTGCGCCTCCGCAGCAGCCTGCGGCCAAGCGCGACTCCCTATGGAGAGGCA